CATTGTAGACTGAAATTGCATTTCAATAAAGTTATAAAATTTTGAAAAATTTGCGCAGAGTGTTGCAAGATTTTCTTTCCAACCTAATATTTAGAGCCTCACCTCCCTTCCCTCCTCCCTCACCCACACTGACCTGCGTGACGTCGGGACGCAGAACGCAACTTTCTCTCCAGACCTGGGTTCACGAAGGATGGTGCCATCTGGACCAGAGTCTGCATCCCTGTCTCTTGCATTTCCTTCTCCCACAGAGGGGCGTGGTTCGCTGACTCCTGAATCGTCGCCACCGTTCCTACTGTTGGCCCTCGCTTGCACTGGCATTGAACTATCCAGGTAGCACACAACATTGATTCAACGTTGATTTGGTGTGAATCAAATGTTTCACTGTTGAAGGTTTATACTTCTATGTTGAATCAACATTTATTCAACGTGGTGACCATCACTGCTTATACACCCACATCGACTCAGCATTGAATCAATGTTGCACCATTCACGGTGGAAGTGTCAACATTAAGTCAACCTGGATTCAATGGATATTTTGCATTAAGAAATCCCTTGCTTCTTTTAAATCTACACTTGGGATTCTTTTCTCTACTTCATCATGGTTCGTTGATTTAGTCAATCGCCCAGAATACATTACGTTCACGAAAAATGAATGGTGAAATGACATTGTGAAATATAGTCTCAATAGAAAGTATAATTAGATAAAGAAGATTCAAATAAAAATAATATATACATATATATTTTTAGGCCAACTAATCGATTGACTTGGACATGTTCAAATTTAGGCATTTGCTTTACTAATGAACGAAAGTGCATTTGTGAGGCTGGATCGATGTGACCCATCCTATATATCAAAAACGCAATAAACTTGCGTCCGTGCGTATGAAGCCTCTGATGTTTGGGTCTGTGTGCATATCCGCAAACCCAAGTGCGCATGTACAGCCCCTTCTGCTTGCCTTGGGTGTACATCTCCCTCTCGCGGGCGAGCTCATTTTTTCCTGCGTTTGCGACTGTCAGGTCTATTCTCGAGAACGTAATAGCCGGAGGGGGGTGGGGAAAGAGTTAGGGTAGCATAAGAAGGCTACGAATAAAAATGCACAACTTGGAATCGAACCCTAGATTTCATGCTTTCATTCGCGAACGTGTTACCACGACACCACGAAAGTTGATTATGATAGTATTTACTTCCATGTCATCCCTAGCACTACAATGGGAGAGAGGCATTCTACGAACCAACCTAGCATTCAAACTCGAACTGGGTGCGGAACGGGATGCCTCTTTTTCATCTTTGTATTAGGTTCGCATTGTCCTTAGAAGGGGGGATCTTAAAGATGTGGACTCGGAAGATGGAGAATGTGTTCAGATGATTTTCAAGTAATACTATAGCTATGAAACGGCGCATGCGCAAGAATTAGATTGTTAAGAACAGTCATATCAACTTTGAATCATCCTGGGTTCAACTTCTATTCAATGTTGAGGAAAATGAAATTTCAATATTGAGTCAACGTTGATATGCAAATGTCGAATCAACATTGCATTGTTGCTTTTGAACATTGAATCGATGTTGATATACCGTTGATGTCAACGTTGAATCAATTGTTGATAATGAAAAAAGAACTTGCAATATAGAATCAATGTTGACAGGCAACGTGGTTTCAACGGTAGTTGCGTTGACGAAATGACGTTGAATCAACGTTGATTCAACGTGAGTGTGCTACTTGGGTAATGGGATATTGACCTTGATTTCCAATCTTATCAGATTATGGCGAAATCACTCCCTCTATTCAAAAGCATTTAGGAACTGAAATTTTTAGCCAAATGGTACCAATGTGTCGTTGCCCTGAGTTCTTTCTTTCCCGGATGCGATGACGTCGTTTAAAGCAGCAGAAGGAGAATACCTCAACGAAGAAGAAGAAAAGCTCGACAACCGTGATCAAGCTCAGTCCGACAAAGAGACCGATGGACCCGCCCAAGTTCGACACGAGGGTCACCCACTAAAATAAAAGGTATAAATGTTGAAGCCGATCACTCAATTTTCCCCACCAATCCAAGCTTGGTACTCACAGTGTAAGCGGGACTTTCTTGGATCAACTTGTAGCTGTTGTCTTCGAAATAGACGTGCAGGTAGGCCGTGTTCCCATCTTTGCCCCTGCTCAAAATTTCAGGAAGAACTTGAACCTCTCCTTACGATACATTGCATTCAACCCACAAAATACCACAACCTTCGTTCATCGCCCACTCTCTCCCGAGAACAAATCTCTTCATTAAACTTATCACTGCTAAAGCGCTACACTCGCTCTGGCAAAACGTCAGGATTCTCTTAAACGTGCTTTTTCCTACATAAATTATTCTCGATCCTTGCCCTGTAGCATACATGGAATAACTATTATCCAGCACTCATCACAGCAGCATGATTGCTTCCACCAAGAGGAGTAGAGTTGTGGAGCGGAATAAAGTCTGCAATATAGTAATAATAATCACGTTTTTTGTCCACAAGGTACGAGGGGCGGACAAAAAGTTTGGCAATTCAGGCATGTATAATGAGATTAGGGATTCCCCGCTTCCTTTGCATAACACATTGTTTACAAAACAATAAAAAATCACCATATGTAGCATTTAGTCTCTCAATTATTGTTTTACTGTAATCTAGTACCTCGTAAATATGGCTTCTACAGGCATGAGGAAAATTGACTATCGGAACGTAATAAAATTCCTGACAAAGGAATGCTCCACAGCTAAGCAGATCTACGATCGCATGGTAGTGGTTTACAGCACAGATGCCCACTCATATGCCACGGTAACTATGTGGGCTAAGGAGTTTCTGCGGGGGCGCGAGATCAAGCAGTACGACCCTCGATCAGGACGACCACCAGGTGCCACCGACGAACCAACAGTTGCTTTAGTCGAGACCTTGATATTGAATGACAGCGCATTAAGGTGGACGAATTATGCACCAAGGTTGGCATTTCACATGAAAGTGTGCCAGCTGTCATTCATGACCACTTGGGCATGTATAAGGTTTCAGCTAGGAGGGTGCCCCGGAACTTCTCCCCTCAAGGTCGACACCAGAGAGTCACTGCGAGTCAAGCGCTCCTCGAGCTGTACGACTCTGATCCAGAAGACTTTCTCTTCCGTCTGATGACAGGGGATGAGACCTGGATTCACCACTGGGACCGTGAGACCAAGCAGGAATCCATGCAGTTCCACTGCATGGATTCCGGCTTGGTCTCACGCATGGGATCTCCTATTCCTAAGAAAGTCAACCTTCTGCCGGAAAGTTATGGCCTCGATCTTTTTGGATGGCAAAACGATATTGCACATTGACTACCTGCCTCACGAAACCTCAATTACTAGGGTTTACAATGCCGAGCTCATGGTTAGATTTCGTGACCCCATTAGAAATAAGCGACGGGGAATGTTGAGCAAAGGGGTACTCCTGCTTCACGACAATGCCCCAGCCCACAGGTCACGTGTCGCACAAGTTTGCATTCGCGACTGCGGTTTCGAACAACTCCACCACCCACCGTATAGCCCAGATTTGGCTCCAAGCGACTATTATCTCTTCAGAAATTCGAAGTCTCGTCTTCGAGGTCGCCGATTTCGAGACGATAATGGGCTCAAAGTGACTTCTGAGACCCGGTTTGATGAGGAAGATTATAACTTTTTCCACAGAGGTTTAGCGAGTTTAAGAAAGAAATTGAGCAAATGCGATGAAGTTAGGAGGGGAGCCAGATTGAAAAATAAGAAATGTTTCACCTTTCAATGTTTCGTTCAAAATATTGTTTACCGTCCCTTTGTCCTCCAGAGAACGGATTGGCAACGTAATCATGCTGCTAGTAATGTGATATTTAGTAGCGCCCCCTTATCGTAGCACCAAAATCGGCGCCAACCAATAGTGGCGTTATATAGTCGACTGACTGTATTTCCATCTATCTGAGCTTACGGACTGTTGCAGACATCTTTTCCAAACTGGAATTGTTTGTAGAACGAGAGAGCATAGAGGAATTTCTCGTTGGGGATCGCCTGCGACAGATCCGGATCGTAATTCACCTCCCTTTTGAAAGAATGTGCGAAAATCATGTTGTCAATTGAACGTGGCGTTCTTGGTAATTCATCGACCGGTAATTCATTGACGACTCACGTGCAAGAGGGGGGACAGAGGCACAAGAGATCCTGGGCGAAGAACTTCGCTTCCGCTTCCATGATGCAGGCATCTAAGCAAAAATTAATATTGTCGAATTTAAGATTTTTTATCCACTCATACTGGGGTTCCGAAAAGGTCTCAAGCTGGACGAAAAGAATTTACAACTGAAGTTTCAAAGTTTCATTATCATCAAATCTTCAAATTTCGTTTCATAATTCGAGAGAGCGAAAAAATCTTAAATCTGTTGTATTCTGGCTCTGGTTTCCTGGCTACTGCATTTCCTGAAAGAAAACAACTGAATCTTATGCGACAGAAAGGACTCTTAAAAGTTTCGAACAGTATTAAAAATGTAAGGAATTAGCTCTGTTGGTCAAAATGATACTTATTAATATATTGTTTTTCGCTGGCAGGTGAAGCTTTAGACTAGACTAGATTTTTCGTGCCAATAGGAGACCTTAACTTATACTTCATACGAGTTTCACTTTTGCATGTTTTACTGATGATTCCTTTAGCCCTCCTTACCTGGCAAAACGGTTTCTAAAGTTATCAGTGCACTGCTGCCTACGAAGTGAGTCTTCCTGAGAAAATGTACGAGAGGAATGCATTGCATTTATTTTTCTCTGACAATAAAGGGATAGATAGACTTTAAACATCCGTTTAATGACTGTCTCAATCTTAGACAATGTTCACGCCAATAAAAGTTAAGTAGCTTTTGTTGAAGAGATCGACGTGAGAAACCTCTCAGCAGGCACGATTAACCCCACGAAGCAAACATTCCGGAAATTCCAGCAAATCTCATCATGAAACAAAATAAGTAAGATTCTTCTTAAGAAAAGGAATCAACAATGGAATCTAATTGCCGGTGACAGTGTCACCGTTTTAAAAAATTAACTCATTTATTAATAATTAAGTTCACTCTTCAGCAAAAGAACGATATCTTAGCAACTTCAAAGGCTAATTGAAATCATATCACTAAATTAAGTAGGTCAGTAACGAAAGGGAATAGGCGTGGAAAAACTTAACGCTATGTTCAGTCTCAAATTCACTTGATTTAATGATGATATCCTCTTGAGAATATGAATTCTGGGGAACATCACCTGTGCAAAAATACATATGTGTTTCTAATAAAGTCTCATACAAGGTATATGGCTCATTAAGGCATCAATTGAAATAGTAGAAGCTGAAAAAAATGCAGATTTTGTGGTAATATTTGATCACCTCTAATTTCTGAAACAATGGAAATTAATAAATATATTTAACCAGCTTTCGAGCACTTCCGAACCGCAGCTTCGAGAGACAGAGGGATCCCCACACTGAGAGACGTTGAGGACATTGCATTGAGGCTTGTCGTTGAGTTTGTCGAAGAGGGGATTCACACTCCTCTTGCAGTCGCACATATCACGGTACCAGCCCTCGGCGCATACCTTCAGGCAGGCCTGCGAGAAAAACCCCTTTACCAACATCTTTTCCTGGTGTAACTTTCCGTTTAACCGATATTCTCTGCGAATTCCAAGGTGCTTATGTGCAGAGGAACTTTTTTTTCAATATTCGCTTAATACGCTTCGCCTCCTGGGGAGCCAGCCTTATTTAAGAACACTTCATTTTCCATGTATTTTCTAAATTTAGCTTCTCGTTGAGTCAGTCCATTGCCCCCCCCCCCCCTTTCCATTTTTGGCTGTATTTATGAAATATGGGAAAATATAGTATTTTAGCCATGTTTCAAGCATGTGTGAAGCACGAAACAAAAATATGGCCTGAACAGATATTATTCTAAGCACGAAGATGCATTCAGATTGACTTTTTTCACTTTGAATGAGACTCGTTTTGTGGAAATGGTAAGTGATTCGCCTTTACTATTTCACTATTCGATTTCACCACATGTTAAAAAAATGATATTCATTCTCATCTCATGAATGTATTATCCCATCTCAAATGAAACAAATGGATGCTAACCTACTAATGAGGCGTACATTTATCTATTTACTTCCATTACAATATTTGGAACCTCTTGTTACATATCTTGAAATTGCGAATGCAATATTCGTTTAAGCAAAAATTGCTGAGGGCAGTTGAGGCGCCCTGTTGTGACGCCTTGACGACACCAGAATTTCATACTGATTGTGAATAGTTTCCCAGGTGTGTCCATTCCCAATCGTAGCATTCTCCATAGGGACTTCCGACTCGAAAGACGTCCTCCTACGACCAAAAAATACCTGCTCGTGAGCAGAAGGAAAGAGAAGCAATTGCCGAGCTGAACCGGCGTCCCAATCTTACCCGTTTGATTGAGGCAGTGGTGAGGATCCCAGGAGCGATGTTGAAGCCCTCGCCTTCTGGGAACGGAAGCTGGGACCTGGGATGAATCACGACGCGGGCGCCTTTTGTCCTTGCCAGGACAGAGAAGGTGTCATCCACGTTCAGGTCGAAGGTGAGTCGAAGTCCGTGCTGAAACATTTTTGTCAATTGCATTTCGATCGTGCAGTTTAGGGCTTGCCATGGAGTTTTACGAGCTAGAGTCCTCCGTATATTAAGGTTAAGGCTCCAGTTTGTGGATGGGTCGAGGAAATTTCCCCCTTCAAAACTGCATTACGTTCAAAAGCGAGAAACGGCTTGATCGGTTTCAATAGGAGGCCAATTCTCATAGTTTGATGCCCATACCGTCAAATAAAATATTAAATATATACTTTTCCAACACTAGCTGTTCAAATGGATATGTGTTAATTTTCACGTGGTTCCTATTTGCGGAGGGCCTGGTTCCAGTTTGTGGACATCCGTGGACCTAGTTTGCGGACACCAGCTTTCGTCAACAATTATGAACGTGCGTAGGCCAAATATAAAAATATGGGCATGAGATATGTACCTCATACAACATTTATATTAATCTTTCAGGGGTGCTTGATGTAAAAATAAACAAAAATTTCCAAGTTTACACATCCTGTTGGGTATGCATAATTTTTATGGTGGCTGACAGACATGTGCAAAACATGGAACATTTTAGGACAGAAATTTTCGGCATGAATTTTGCGAAATAGCAAAAAACGCAAAACTGTCCACAAATAGGCGCCCGCTCACAAACTGGTGCTTCCACCCTATATTTGAAGGATGATGTCCGACCTGAAAGCCGAATTTCGTCGAGTAACGTGGAATCACGTCTTGCTTCACGTAGTTTCCTTCCGAGTCTTCTACGTACTTCTCCAAGAACGGACTGTTGAAGGTGAAGCAATTCCCATAGTCGTCGCTCCGCCATTCGTGGAAATCCCTGAGAAGCAAGACGGGCGGTGCACAGGTACAGGGTGGTTATGTAAATGGACCTTTCCCCTTTCGTTTCGTAAAAGTGAAAAGGAGCGTACTTGTAGGAGCAATCTCGATTGTCGAAACTGCAGCTGGCGATGAAATCTCTGGCGCTTATCCCGTACTTTTGCACCTCGTCTCGATCCGGAGTGTAAATCTGCAACAGGTCGCTCATGTCCTTGGTCCTCGAGTCGGCTATCGTTCGGCCGAAGTCGCCGGTGACGTCTGGCACGAAAACACGTTGCTCTCATGCTCGAATGCAAGATGATCGTCATTGCGTTCGTGACTGAAGTCGTTGAGACTTACAATTCTTTTCGTAGCAGTAATCGGTATCTTTGGGGCGGCGGACGCAGACTTGTTCGCAGTCACACGCTTCGTCGTGCTTCTTGTAGAGTTCGACTGCAAGTAGAGGAAGAATTCCATGGATTATTCTTAGATGAATTAGATCAGATGGATTCGGAGGGGCTCAGAGAAAAAAAATTTCAAGTTGTTTTATTGTGCAAATATGTTCCTAATTCGATGGAATAAGCAAAATCTCGATTGCTCATGACCATTATAGAACGGCGCACATGCTCATTCTGACCTTTACAATGAGTCTCATCGGACATATCGGGGCAGTCGAGAATCATGTTGCACCATTTGTCTTCGGTCAGGCAGCCGCCTTTCGTCTCGCACGAGAGAAGTCCGACGCTCTTGCAATCTGCAGAGAACAGGCGAGGAATTTTAAATCCCGTCGCAAAGCGATGTCCATTCCGCCCCGAGAGAGAAACGAGCGAGAAGCATCCCTACACTCGGGGCAGTCGCGTTCGTCGGATCCGTCTTGGCAGTCGTCCACGCCGTTGCATCGGAGGTCCGAGGTCAAGCATTTCATCTCGTTCGTGCAGGAGAAGGCGCCATCCACGGAGTTGCAAACTGCGGTGGGATATCGGAGAGTGCAGAGGGACACTCGCGTTTACGGAATGGAGGTGGGGTGGCGCTCACGTCGCCGAATGGCACGATTTCTCGTTGGACCTATCGTCTAGGTCTCCGAGGGTCGAGAAACGCGTCCAAGGACTCGGCGAAATCGCAATTAAGGTTGACGGCCAAAATGAGGCCTTCGCGCTTTTACGGAACCTGCATCTCGTGTAATATGAATTTCAGAAATTTCTCATATAAGTTAAATGTGGAAAAATGCGGACTTGTGGAAAATGTGAAAATGTTCTTCACGCTTGATGTTCGCTAATAATAAGAGTAATAAACGGATGAAAGAAAGTGCAAACCACTCCCTGACGTCAGCCGATACGAACCTACTGGGACGGTTCGCCGAGCGCGGGATATTTCAGACATTATTAACCGCTCTCCCCGTAATATCAATATATTCAATTAAAGCGTTCAACACCGTTGGAAAGGATGGCCCTTATACTGATGGTCTCTTTCCGCAAACGGCGTGCACTTTGGGTTCTGAAAAATTGACTATATAAAAAACCCATTGATTAGACAGAAAGGGTGCATATTTGTGCATCGTAGAGCGGCCGACTCGTAACCGTCTAGACTGCGATTATGTCGGCACGGTCGATCGGGACGACACAGCCGACACTGCAGTCGCACGTCGGCCCTTTGCGAAATAACTAGAAGGGGGACGCGAATTCCTTCGCCGAACGCTGTCGACGCGACTCGATCGTCGGGTGGTCACAAAATGGTCACAAATTAAGGAATTCGAGGGCGACACACCGTCGGGTGGTCACAAAATGGTCACAAATTAAGGAATTCGAGGGTGACTCACCGTCGGGTGGTCACAAAATGGTCACAAATTAAGGAATTCGAGGGCGACTCACCGTCGTCGAACTGGTCGCAGATGAGCGTCTCGTCCGACTCGTCGTAGCATTGTGCCTTCCCGTCGCAGACCTAAAGAAAAGGAATTCGGCTGGGCGCGAGGCATGGAGGAACATTTCCAGTCGGTGGAGCAAAGTGGGAAAGGATTTTTAACGATTCGTGTCACCGTAAGCGGCTGAAATCCGGTTTAAAGATTTTTTGTCGTTCCGATGTAAGCAAAATTTCCTGTCCCGGCTCGACTCTTCCTTCCGTTTGAACCGGGATGATGCTAATGCAGAAAGTGCCGAAACATACGCGCTTTCGATTGCCAACTAAGGGAAGAAATCGGATTTCGATAAATGCAACAGAAATCTCAGTGTCACCGTGCTAAACCTCGCATAGAATCCACCGCATCTAATACTAATAAAATTAATAATGATACTAATATCAATACAAAATAATAATGCATACAAACTCGCTATACCCGCGCCTCCATCCAAACCCAAGCATTTCCCCTGAATCCAATCTCACCATGCACGTCCACGTCATACCTGCTCCGTTGACACATAATACCATGATGCAATTCTGTCCGGACAGACACCGAGCATAACCTGGTGGATTCATGCATCATAGTGGTTTACAGCACAGATGCCCACTCATATGCCACGGTAACTATGTGGGCTAAGGAGTTTCTGCGGGGGCGCGAGATCAAGCAGTAAGACCCTCGATCAGGACGACCACCAGGTGCCACCGACGAACCAACAGTTGCTTTAGTCGAGACCTTCATATTGAATGACAGCGCATTAAGGTGGACGAAATATGCACCAAGGTTGGCATTTCACATGAAAGTGTGCCAGCTGTCATTCATGACCACTTGGGCATGTATAAGGTCTCAGCTAGGAGGGTGCCCCGGAACTTCTCCCCTCAAGCTCGACACCAGAGAGTCACTGCGAGTCAAGCGCTCCTCGAGCTGCACGACTCTGATCCAGAAGACTTTCTCTTCCGTCTGATGACAGGGGATGAGACCTGGATTCACCACGGGGACCGTGAGACCAAGCAGGAATCCATGCAGTTCCACTGCATGCATTCCGGCTTGGTCTCATGCATGGGATCTCCTCTTCCTAAGAAAGTCAACCTTCTGCCAGAAAGTTATGGCCTCAATCTTTTTGGATGGCAAAACGATATTGCACATTGACTACCTGCCTCACGAAACCTCAATTACTAGGGTTTACAATGCCGAACTCACGGTTAGATTTCGTGACCCCATTAGAAATAAGCGGCGGGGAATGTTGAGCAAAAGGGGCACTCCTGCTTCACGACAATGCCCCAGCCCACAGGTCACGTGTCGCACAAGTTTGCATTCGCGACTGCGGTTTCGAACAACTCCACCACCCACCGTATAGCCCAGATTTGGCTCCAAGCGACTATTATCTCTTCAGAAATTCGAAGTCTCGTCTTCGAGGTCGCCGATTTCGAGACGATAATGGGCTCAAAGTGACTTCTGAGACCCGGTTTGATGAGGAAGATAACTTTTTCCACAGAGGTTTAGCGAGTTTAAGAAAGAAATTGAGCAAATGCGATGAAGTTAGGAGGGGAGCCAGATTGAAAAATAAGAAATGTTTCACCTTTCAATGTTTCGTTCAAAATATTGTTTTACCGTCCCTTTGTCCTCCAGAGAACGGATTGGCAACGTAATCATGCTGCTAGTAATGTGATATTTAGTAGCGCCAAAATCGGCGCCAACGAATAGTGGCGTTATATAGTCGACTGACTGTATTTCCATCTATCTGAGCTTACGGACTGTTGCAGACATCTTTTCCAAACTGGAATTGCTTGTAGAACGAGAGAGCATAGAGGAATTTCTCGTTGGGGATCGCCTGCGACAGATCCGGATCGTAATTCACCTCCCTTTTGAAAGAATGCGCGAAAATCATGCTGTCAATTGAACGTGGCGTTCTTGGTAATTTATTATAATAATTCATCGACCGGCACAGACACTGACTCACGTGCAAGAGGGGGGACAGAGGCACAGGAGATCCTGGGCGAAGAACTTCGCTTCCGCTTCCATGATGCAGGCATCTAAGCAAAAATTAATATTGGCGAAATTAATATTTTTTATCCACTCATGCTGGGGTTCCGAAAAGGTCTAAAGCTGGACGAAAATAATTTAAAACTGAAGTTTCAAAGTTTCATTATCATCAAATCTTCAAATTTCGTTTCATAATTCGAGAGAGGGAAAAAATCTGAAATCTGTTATATTCTGGCTCTGGTTTCCTGGCTACTGCATTTCCTGAAAGAAAACATCTCATGCAACAGAAAGGCTTCTTAAAAGTTTCGAACAGTATTAAAAATTTAAGGAATTAGCTCTGTTGGTCAAAGTGATACTTATAAATATATTGTTTTTCGCTGGCAGGTGAAGCTATAGACTAGACTAGATTTTTCGTGCCAATAGGAGACCTTAACCTTCATACGAGTTTCACTTTTGCATGTTTTACTGATGATTCCTTTAGCCCTCGTTACCTGGCGAAACGGTTTCTAAAGTTATCAGTGCACTGCTGCCTGCGAAGTGAGTCTTCCTGAGAAGATGTACGAGAGGAATGCGTTGCATTTAGTTTTCTCTGACAATAATGGGATCGATAGACTTTAAACATCCGTTTAATGACTGTCTCAATCTTAGACAATGTTCGCGCCAATAAAAGTTAAGTAGCTTTTGTTTGAAGAGATCGACGTGAGAAAACCTCTCTGCAGGCACGATTAACCCCACGAAGCAAACATTCCGGAAACTCCAGCAAATCTCGTCATGAAACAAAATAAGTAAGATTCTTCTTAAGAAGAGGAATCTACCATGGAATCTAATTGCCGGTGACAGTGTCACCGTTTTAAAAAATTAACTCATTTATTAATAATTAAGTTCACTCTTCAGCAAAAAAAACGATATCTTAGCAACTTCAAAGGCTAATTGAAATCATATCACTAAATTAAGTAGGTCAGTAACGAGAGGGAATCTGTGTGGAAAACTTAACGCTACGTTCAGTCTCAAATTCACTTGATTTAATGATGATATCCTCTTGAGAATATGAATTCTGGGGAACTTCACCTGTGCAAAAATACGCATGTGTTTCTAATAAAGTCTCATACAAGGTATATGGCTCATTAAGGCATCAATTGAAGTAGTAGAAGCTGAAAAAATGCAGATTTTGTGGTAATATTTGATCACCTCTAATTTCAGAAACAATGGAAATTAATCAACATATTTAGCCAGGTTTCGAGCACTTCCGAACCGCAGCTTCGAGAGACAGAGGGATCCCCACACTGCGAGACGTTGAGGACATTGCATTGAGGCTTGTCGTTGAGTTTGTCGAAGAGGGGATTCACACTCCTCTTGCAGTCGCACATAACACGGTACCAGCCCTCGGCGCATACCTTCAGGCAGGCCTGCGAGAAAAACCCCTTTACCAACATCTTTTCCTGGTGTAACTTTCCGTTTAACCGATATTCTCTGCGAATTGCAAGGTGCTTTTGTGCAGAGGAACTTTTTTTCAATATTCACTTAATACGCTTAGCCTCCTGAGGAGCCAGCCTTATTTAAGAACACTTCATTTTTCATGTATTTTCTAAATTTAGCTTCTCATTGCGTCAGCCCATTACCCCCCCCCCCCTTTTCATTTTTGGCTGTATTTATGAAATATGGGAAAATATAGTATTTTAGCCATGTTTCAAGCATGTGTGAAGCACGAAACAAAAATATGGCCTGAACAGATATTATTCTAAGCA